AACAACAAGTAACACACTGAGAGCATCTTCCCTTTCGGCAGAACGCTGGTAACTGCTGCAGCTGACAGGGAGCCAGGACTGGCTATATGCCACCCTGCTCTTGTGTCTGCTTAAAACTCCCCATACTGGAAGAGTTGAAAATTAGGTATTAAACAAATTCTTACATTTTAAATTCTAAGTACTAATTCAGTAAGATTAAAAAGTCAGTAAGAAGAACGTTAATCGAAATTAAAGTTTAGTTATAGGAGTTGATATAGTATCTGTAAAAGCAAGTAACAGGAACATGCCAGATTACTGGAAGGCATACAAAAAGAACATAAACACGCTTTGGCCATCTCTAGACAGTTCAATCTAAGAGCAGCACAAACACAAATGTGGGATCAGCAATTTAAAGCAATTTTCAAAAATTTAAAGTGAGTTCCTTGAAGGTGGTGATTTTGCTTTATGTTCTCCCTGAACACATTATTTTTAACAGCCTCAATCTCTTGTATTTTCTTGGGAAAGAGTCAAAAACATCCTTAACTACCATCTACCAGGTAGTCAGTAAACAGACAGCAACACTGTGAACAAGCACCGAGACACTTCACCCAACTCAGGACGTACGGAGTCACAGCCAAGTGCACATAAAAGGCTGCACCGCGTCAAGATCCAAACAACTCAAGGATACAAGTAGAGAAACCAGAATTAAACATCTACAGTCGCTTTCCCCGTTCCTTATTCTCCAGAAGCTATAAATGGCTCTCCTTGCAGCTTCAAGGGAGAGTAAATGTGACTAAGTACCCAGCACCCAACTGCCCTTCCTCGTTGTACCTGGGAGTACTAACTTCCCTACAGTGAGTCAGCTGTCTGATGTGCTTTAAGATACTCGCTCTGATCAGGGTTTAGACCAGCGCTTCTCCAACTCTGGCGTGCACAGAATCACCAGGCGCGCTTCTGAAAAGAGATACCCCAAGTCCTGCGCCAGACTCTGGGTGCCATTCAGCAGGTCTGGAGAGGGACCAGACTTGTTAAACAAGCTCCCGGGTGCTGCCGACCCGGGCTCCACACCGCGGGTAGCAGAGCTGAGCCAAAACCACCACTGATTTCCACCCACCCACGTTCCCAAAAAGGCAAACTGAGAGTGCACGAAACATCTCTGGACTTTGCTCAATACCTTAAGTAAGTTCCGAAAGTAGTATTTCAATTATTTTGTCATCAGGGAAAGAATTCCTGAGAACAAACTAGTAGTTCCCAGTAGAGAGAGAGGAGGGGCAGGGGCAAGACAGGGGCAGGAGATTAAGAGGCACAAACGACTGTGTATAAAATAAACCACAAAGATAACACTGTGCAGCACAGGGAATGTCGCTAACATTTTATAATAGTTATAAAGGGAATGGAATAAAAATCTTTAAAAATTGTGAATCACTGTGTTGTACATTTAAAACTTACACAATATTGTAAATCAATCTATTTCAATTTAGAACAAAGAATTTGTACTGAAAGACCTTTTACTTGTTACCTAGACTGTCCTAATGACAAACTGCCACTACCCCTCATCAGTGTAGAAGCACCGTATTTTGACAGCCCGTTTTTCAAGGCACCATACTTAAGTTAAATTTTCAACTATTCAACTATGAACAGTACAGGCCTGTCACACACTATGCAGTCCGGTGTATGAATTAATTACTGACACCGTTTCCTTGGTCCATTTAGGACTGTGATACAACAGCAGTCCCCTTACTCGGTGCTCCAGCAGATTTCAGAAGAATTTATTAAGTCGAAAGAACGGTCTTTTTCTGCAAGGTGTGTATCAGCAAGCAGAGGGGAAAAAACTGCTGCTCTGGTCCCTGCTGCTTGGGAACAGTTCTGCAGCTGATGCGTTCATTCCCAGCTTAAACTGACAACAGAAAAACAGGATGGAGAAAGTCAAGTCTTCCATCCACATCCTACGGTTTCTTTCATCATTCTCTCTACACACTGCGCACCCTGCAAAGACCAGGGATGTCCACGGCAAACATCCAAATGCTTCAAGGGTCTTCCAGAGCACTAGCCGCTGCCACTGGTGTGAAGAGCACTGGCAAAGTGACTGAAAGAAAGGTATCAAACATTTGACCAGTTTCAGGTTGTCAATACCGTGGTTCATTTAGATGCTTGCTCTAATTGTCACCTAGTCTGTGTGTTTGTGACTGATATGACACATTTTTCAGATATGAGACAACAAAACATGCAGCTTAGGAAATACGATGTAGCAGTTAATACGGTTCTAGAATCGGACTGTCCTGTTTCTGAATCCTAGCTTAGTCACTTCTCAGATGCATGACCTCAGACAGAGTACTTAACCTCTCTGTGCAGAGGAGTTCGTGGTCCCGACTGGACAAGGATGCCAGGAATACTGACTGCGACCACACCAGGGACATGAAAAGAAGTGAAGCGACCGTCTTGGTGAGTGACTAGTATTTGTGTTTTACAAAGTGAGAAGGAAAACAGCCCTGGAAACACAATTCAGTGTTTAATCGTTCCTGATCCATTTTCTAAAAGAACATTTAGTGGGAAATACACAGCGAAGCCCAGTCACACCTTCCAGCGGTACCCTGAAGTGTAAATCTGTCCACGGAGAAAGAGCTGGATTTACATTTGAAAACTGAAACCAAAAATCACAACGGCTAAATTCACCTTAGATGCCCCCCAAACACACTTCTCTTCAAGATGTACTCTGAGCGCACACGCATTTCCCAAACCGCCTGCTGGGAAGCCAGGGAAGGCTTGTCCACCAGCTTGTCCCAGAACGCGCCAGGGAGCCTGGCCACAGGAAGCACAGAAGTTCGCTCCTACTTTAGAAACGGGAACGAGACCCAGCCACGTTACCGGTTCTGAGTGTGCAGGCACTGCTCCAAGCGCTCCAGACCCAACTACCCGAGTCCCTGAGCACCTGCGGGGCAGGAGCAGCTGCTCTCAGGATGACGGCTCCAACAGCCCTTGTCTTCTGGGCGCTCCTGTGACTCCAGCAAGCAGAGACTCCGCACGTGGAGTTATCCTTGCTCAGTCTCCACGTACCAACACGGGAAGCAAGAGGAGTCTGAGCACCTCACTCCCCGGAGAGCCACGTGGACGCCGGCGAGGAAGGGAGCCTCCAGCTCCGCCTCCCTATGCCCGCCTTCTGTAACCCTTCCATTCGTAGAAAGGATCCTACACTGAAAACACTAAAACCTCACTGTCCTAGTCCAACGCTGTGACTGGAGGCGTGAGTTAAACTGAGCACCAGGGAGACGAAGAAACCTGGTGAAGCCCTACAGCCCGGGGGCTGCCCACCCCTCTTCGCAGCCAGCCTCCCCCCAGAAACCTCCCCGCCGAACCCCCCGGAGACGACCTCGACAGCGATTATCTGTGAAACGCAGACACTTCTGTCTCAGTTTTCTCCATCCCACCCACCTTCAAATATGCACTGAGTTTAGAAAAACTAGAAAAATATGATCGGTAACTTTTCATTCCAACTTCTCCCCTTTGCTCTGCTCAAGACTGCTACTGCTCTTCAAGCGAGCCAAGCACACCTCCTATTAAAGCACGGGACCCAGCTCCCGCGTCATGGGACACACAGGATGAGAAATCCCTTTACAGAGGGTGCACATAAGAACTCCAAAAATTGAACAGGTAGGTGTTTATTTCTTGTGCTTCAGGGAGAAAAGAAGAATGGTTCTGATACTACAAAGTTAGTGTGTAATTTACTTTTATTCCCCACTGTATTTAAGTTTTTTCATTACCTTCTATTCGTGCCCAAAGATGGTTTACCAGTTATGGTAATGGTATGTTAATGAGTGGAGGCATATTACATAAATTACCAGGTCACTGGGCATGTCAGAACTGTGAAGCTGATGGGCCAATGAATGAAATCTGAGCAGCACTTTATCAAACCTCAGGGACACAAGAGCATATCTGCATTATCTTCATGTTTTTACTTTCCAAGTGATTTTTTAAAAACTGAATATCACAAATATTTACATTTTAAGTATCCAAGTATTCATTTCAATGGAGGCATGTTTGGTTTAGTCACCAACAATTACTAAAGAGCACGCTTATTCATCCTGACTTTCCACAACAGCCCAGAGGGCTCTCTCTCTGATCACTACAGTGACAAGAGGCACAAGCCTTTCAATACGAGCAATTTGGAAGTAACTGCCACGATGAGGGCCGCAGGAGGTGCCGGGGTCAAGGAAGGTCTCTTCCACGTTTAACAATCTGTGATCAAAGCTCGTAATCGGAACTGGCTTGTCAGAGAGGTTTCCATGGTGCGGCAGTTGCCACCAGCACTGGCGGGTACGTGGAAGATCTATTAACTGTAACACGGTGGGGCACTGCACTTAAGGTAGCATCTCGCCTTTCTTTTTGGACATAACGTTATACACAAAACAAGATTTCAAGGAGGAAGAAGGCTGCTCCTGTACTCTAGCACCTATAGAATTTAGGACTTATAACACTGTTACTTAAAATTATCTTTCAACATACATAAGCTTTCTCTAAATTACAAGCTCCTCATTCACTTGAAAATCTTATAAAGAAGTGAGCGTCCCCGGCAGTCTGCTAGCCAGGCCCGCAAGCAGGAGCTATGGTTTCTGTCCAAAAGGAACTCCTGGCCCAGGAGTGGATCCAAGAGCTGGAGAGGAACCTGCATGCCGAGAGCACACAGCCTTTCCCGGGAGAGCGGCAGGAGGCGCTCACCACACACCAGCCCCCCTGCCACACCTGCGCGTCCATCTGCCTACGTCCCATAGAGCTGGAGGGGCAACCACGGACCAGAGGCTTTTAAAAGCTGAAGGACAGACACAGGCACACTTAGCAGACGCCAGGGAGAAGGAGACGGACAGGGATTAAGTCACACACCACGCTCAGTGCGCAGTCAGGCTGCACGTGCGTGGGGCCAGCTGCCCCCTCGTGGGGCGAGAGGGCCTCCCACAGAAGGCCTCGCGTCCCACGTAACCCAAGGCCGCAACCTGCTGTCTGACCAAGGCCGTTTCAGAGCTGCTTACTTGTGGGATGTCCGTTTCTTCATCATGCTTGCAGACACACCCGCATGGCCTGAAAAAGAGGGGAGTACAAGTCAACGAAAGCTGGATTAGAAAGTAGTTCAAGTTCAGAAAAACATTAACTTGTGAAAAAGTGCTATATAAATCATGAAATTAAAACAAAAAAACCAAACCCATACACAGCCAACACGTAAGAAAACCACGTGTTTACTTCACTGTTAGAAAGGAGACACCAGGCGCTCCGGGAAGGCAAAACGGCAAGAGCAGCAGTTCACCTCCCCACACCAGCCACAGAGCAAACCCAGAATCGCGTGGACAGAAGCTACAAGGGTGAACGTGACAATCCTTGCCCTAAAGCACTGAGAGGTACAGCACTTGCCTCCGGCTGCAGGCAATCAGGACACAGGACAAAAGGTATCAACAACCCGGACCCAGAAATCAGAAATCAGGACAACAAGCAGCTCCGGGCTGCGGGACCCGGGGGCACAAAGCCCCTGCAGGGGCCCCGAACCACCCGAGGGCGACCCAAGGACAACCTGCGGGCGGCAGTACACGAAGAAGCCAGAAACACTGTGGTTCTGCTCCACAGGGAGTCAGACTGGCGCTGGGGAGGGCGAGGTAACTGGGAGTCATGAACAGAGTGCTGGGAAGGAAGGCCTCAGAGGGGCTCCAAACACCTGGAAGGGGTGGGGTGGCAGGTCCTACGTTTCTGGCAGGATACTAAACTGCAAAGGCAAGACAGTGCAAAGTCCATCTAGCTACCTCCTTGAACATATGGGGCAATCAGTAAAGACCACAAAAAGATGACCCCCTAGCAAGGAGGCTGAAGTAGCCCTGAGTGTAAAAGCTGCTACAGACCCATCCTGGCACCTGCTTGCCAAAACAAACTCCGATATTCACTAAGACGCTCCACACCACATCCCAAATGTCCAACGCCCCAACTAAAATGAGGAGACCTATGGAAAAGTGGCAGACCAAGTGGGTTATCCAAAACGATGTAATCAGCAGGCAAAAATGTTAAAACCACTGTAACGAATACACTCAAATACTTAAAAGAAGACACAAACAATTAAAACAGGAAAATGAAAGGGGAAAAAAAGAAAGAAAGAAAACTGGTGAAGAATACATGACCCAGGATGGAAAAATGAAAAGCTGCTGGGCGTGACTAACAGCAGATCAGACCCCTCAGATTGAAAGGTCAGTAAACGTGGGACATTACAAAACAACATACCCAAAATGGAACACAGGAAAAAACTGCGGTAACAGCCTCAGCGACCTGCGGGACACCTATCAACCCGCCTAACATAAAGAAAATGGACTCCACGAAAGAGAGGACAGAGGGTGAAGAAAGAAAACGGTCTGACAAAAACTACGGCAGGGAGTTTTCCAGATCTGACCAGCACACAGACACAGAGCCAGCAGTAACCGCACAGGAGCCAAGATACAAAACAAAGAAAAAGATCATGCCAAGGCATACTCCAAATGTCTGAAAACCAGTGACAAAGAAAGCATTTTTAAGCAGGCAAAGAATAGAAGACACATCAAAGTTGGAAAACAAAGAAAACACTGGCTCTAGATTGACTGTCGGAAAGGATGTAAGCCAGGCGAGCTGGTCAAGACGGTCGAGCGGCAGGACCACAAGCTCGCCTCTCCTCGCGACGGCAACAGAACCACACCTCACGGCTAAACGATCATCGGGAAAAAGCACTAGCACCTAGAGAAAAAGCCCTTCTTCAACTGGGAGCACGCACAGAGGTTCAGAGCCTCCGCAGGACGGCAGAAGGGATGTGCTCACGATGTACTGGGGACCCAGGCCCCCGGGCGGGCGACCCTCACGCTAGAAGAACAATGAAGTGGCAGAGGACCCCCACAGGGGGGAGACTCCCCAGCCCGGGGTCCCGGCACTGGGAGGAGGAAGAGACCCCAGAACATTTGGTTCTGAAGGCCAGTGGGGCTTAACTCCAGGGGCCCACAGACGGGCGGAAACAGAGACTTCATCCTCTTGGGAAGCACACACGGAATCCAGGTCCAAGGGCAGAGGCACTGGCTTCAAAGGAGCCTAGGGCCAGACCTGCCTGCTGGTTTCAGAGCCTGCCCCTGGGGAGGGACGGGGCGGCTCCTTACCTCCCTGTGGCTCACCCTGGGGACATAAAAGCTGGTGGATGTTCGGTAGTGTTCACCTACATGAGCTTTCCTGAGGCTGGCATCTTGCTTGGATCATCAGCACCAAGAGCTAGCCCCACCCAGCAGCCTGTAGGCTTAAGTGCTGGGAAACCTCAGGCCAAACAACATACTGGGTAGGATCTCTGCCTCACCCAACAGCAAAGTTCACAGCCGCCTCTGGGCACGCCCCAGCCACCAGAGGGCCAGGACCAAGCTCCACCCAGCAGTGGGCAGGTACCAAGGCCTCCTGCCAGGAAACCTGCAAAAGCCTCTAGTCCAGCCTCATCCACCAGGGGGCAGATACCAGAAAACAACAATCCGAAAGCCTGTGGAAGGAATCAGCAAACGCAGGCCAGATTCTGCCATGGGCCAGCTGGGCCCTGGCCCTTAGGTGACAAAAGAGGAGTGCACTGCTGGGACTAACAGGACGTCTCCCACAGAAGGCTACCTCTCCAAGTTTGAGAAACGTAACTAAGCCACACAAAACTACATATAAAAAACTAGACAACATGAGATTGCAAAGGAATATCTTCCAGGCCAAGGCACAAGATATAATCCCAGAAGAAGAAATAAGTGATGAGGAGATAGGCAATTTATCTGAGACAGAGTTTAGAGCAATGATGACGAAGATGTTCAGAGAACTCGAGGAGTACAGATGCACAGAGCAAAGTTTCTAGCAGAGAGTTAGGAAATATAAAAAAACGCCCGGAGGTGAAGAATACCTTTACTGAAATGTATGACACACTAGAGAGAACCAAGAATGGACTAAACGAGGCAGAAGAACGGATCAGTGAGCTGGAAGACAGATTAGCGGAAATCACTACTGCAGACCAGAGAAAAGAAAAGAATGAAAAGAAATGACAACAGTTTAAGAGCACTCTGGGACATGAACGCACTAATACACTATAGGGGTCCCAGAAAGAGAAGAGAGAAAGGACCTGAGAAAAGTTCTGGAGAGACAATAACTGGAAAACTTCCCCAACTCGGGAAAGGAACAGTCACCCAAGTCCAGGAAGCACAGAGAGCTCCACATAGGATCAGCCCAAAGGGGGGCACACCGAGGCTCGCAGCCATCAAACTGACAGAAACTAAGAACATGGAGGAAACACTAAAATCAGCAAGAGAAAAGCAACAAACAGCATGTAAGGGAGCTCCCACATGGCTATCAGCTGATTTTTCAGCAGAAACTCTGCAGGCCAGAAGGGAGCGGCTCGGTACACACAGTGGTGAAAGGGAAGAACCTGCAACCCAGAACCCTCCGCCCAGCAGGGCTCTCGTTCAGACCTGAGGGAGACACAACGCTTCACAGATAAACAAAAGCTACAAGACCTCAGCACCACCAAGCCAGCTTTACAACAGATGCTAAAGGAACCTCTCGTCACCAAACCAGAAGAAAAGAGAACAGAAAGAGGCAAAAGCAAAAAACAAAACAAACAAACAAAACAAGACCTACAAAAGAGTGCTTTGGCAGTTCGGGGTCTTTTACAGTTCCATATAAATTTCGGAATTTTGGTTCCAGCTCTGTGAAGAACGTTGTGAGTACCTTGGCAGGGGCTGCACTGGATCTGTAGGTGCTTTGGGTAGTGCGGCCATTCTGATAATGTTGATTCTTCCAATCCAAGAGCACAAGATACCTTCCATTTCTTTGTATCATCTTAAATTTTCTTCATCAGTGCTTTACAGTTTTCAGAGTATAGGTTAACCTCCTTGGTTAAGTTATTTCTAGGTATTTTGCTGTTTTGAACAATGGAAATGTTTATGCTAGTTATAAAATTCTGGTTTTTGAAGTGGGGAAAAAAAGTGAATGAAGAGCCACAAATGGCAAAACATCCTTGTTTCTTATGGGTGAGCTGTATCCCATCACATATGTATGCTGCATCTTCTGTATCCATTCATCTACTGACATGCACTTAGGATGCTTCCATATCTGGACAATTATAAATAATGTTGCTGTTAATAGGGGGGGGTGTATGTATCTTTTTGAATTAATTCTTTTTTTGTGGTTGGCTTTATTCCCTTGATAACTATGTAAATTTAAAAAGCTAAAGCTCTAAATGTTCTTAGAAACAATGAACAGTATATACATGTAAATTTAAAAAAGCATGTGCAGCATATTGTGTATATGTATTTACGTACAATACATTGTATATGTGCAGTCAAACTGTAACAATTCTACCTCATAAAACTGAAAAATGAAAAAGAAAAGAGAAATAAAAGAAAAAGAAAATTGAAACCATACCAAGCATCTCTTCTGACCACAAGGCTATGAGGTCAGAAACCAACCACAAGAAAAAACCGCAGGAACTGCAAACACGTGGAGGCTGAACAACAGGCTACTGAAGGACCAGTGGATCACGGAAGAAATCAAAAAATACCTTGAGACAAGTGAAAATGAACACACGACATGAAACCTCTGGGACGCAGCAAAAGCAGTTCTAAGAGGGAAGTGCATCGCGGCACAAGCCTGTCTTGGAAACAAAAATCTAAAATAAACAACCTAATCTCACACCTAAAGCAGCTAGAGAAAGAAGAACAAACAAAACACAAAGTTAGTAGAAGAAAAGAAATCATAAAGACCACAGCAGAAATAAATGAAAGAGGCTAAAAAAAAAGAAAAAAAATCAATGAAACGAAAAGCTGATTCTTTTGAAAAGATAAACAAAATTGATAAACCTTTAGTCAGAATCATCAAGAGAGGGCCCAAATTAATAAAATCATAAATGAAAAAGAAGTCACAACCAACACCACAGAAATACAAGGGTCGTAAGAGGCTACTATGAGCAACTACACGCCAACAAAAAGGACAAACTAGAAGAAATGGACAATTTCTTAGAAAGTTACAATCTGCCAAGACTGAATCAGGAAGAAGTAATAGAAAATAGGAATATA